AGGACCTTGGACAGCTCCTTCAGCCATTCTCACTGTTCAAGGTCCCGAAACATTCCAGCTCTTACAGGACCTTGGACAGTTCCTTCAGCTTTTCACACAGTTTAAGGTCCTGAAACATTCCAGCACTTTCAGGACCTTGGACAGTTCCTTCAGTCCTTCACACTGTTTAAAGTCCTGAAACATTCCAGCACTTTCAGGACCTTGGAAAGCTCCTTCAGCCGTTCCTACTGTCCAAGATCCTGAAACATGCGAGCTCTTTCAGGAATTTGGACAGTTCCTTCATTCCTTCACACTGTTTAAGGTCCTGAAACATGCCAGCTCTTTCAGGACATGGAACAGTTCCTTCTGCATTTCACACTGTCTAAAGTCCTAAAATATCCCAGCACTTTCAGGACCTTGGACAGCTCCTTCAGCCCACACTGTCCAAGATCTTGAAACATGCCAGCTCTTTCAGGACTTTGGACAGTTCCTTCATCCTTTCTCACTGTTTAAGGTCCCGAAACATGCCAGCTCTTTCAGGACCATGTTCAGCTTTTTCATCTATTCTCACTGTTCAACGTCCTGAAACATGCCAGCACTTTCAGGACCTTGGACAGTTCGCTTAGCATTTGATAATTTCTAAAGTCCTAAAACATTGCAGTACTTTCAAGACCTTGGACAGTTACTTCACCCCTTCACACTGTTTAAGATCCTGAAACAAGCCAGTTCTTTCAGGACCATGGACAGCTCCTCAAGCTGTTCTCACTGTTCAAGGTCCCGAAATATGCCAGGTCTTTCAGGACCTTGGACAGTTCCTTCAGCATTTCACACTGTCTAAAGTCCTAAAACATTCCAGCACTTTCAAGACCTTGGACAGCCCCTTCAGCCATTCACACTGTTTAAGGTCCTGAAATATGCCAGCTCTTTCAGGACCATGGACAGTTCCTTCAGCCCTTTATCATGTTCAAGGTCCTGAAACATGCCAGCTTTTTCAGGACCTGGGACAGTTACTTCAGAATTTCTTACTGTACAAGGTCCCAAAACATGCCAGCACTTTCAGGACCTTGGACAGTTCCTTCATCCCATCACACTGTTTAAGGTCCTGAAACATGCCAGCTCTTTCAGAGTTTGGGACAGTTCCTTCAGCATTTCACACTGTCTAAAGTCCTAAAATATTCCAGCACTTTCAGAACATTGGACAGCTCCTTCAGCCGTTCACACTGTCCAAGATCTTGAAACATGCCAGCTCTTTCAGGACTTTGGACAGTTCCTTCATCCTTTCTCACTTTTCAAGATCCTGAAACATGCCAGCTTTTTCAGGACCATGGAAAGTTCCTTCAGCCCTTAATCATGTTCAAGGTCCTGACACATACCAGCTTTTTTAATACCTGGGACATTTCCTTCCGAATTTCACACTGTTGAAAGTCTTAAAACATTTCAACACTTTCAGGAACTTGGACAGCTCCTTCAGCCGTTCACACTGTCCAAGATCCTGAAACATGCCTGCTCTCTCAGTACCTTGGACAGCTCCTTCATCATTTCTCACTGTTCATGGTCCTGAAACATGCCAGCACTTTCAGGACCATGGACAGTTCCTTCAGCCCTTATTCATAATCAAGGTGCTGAAACATGCCAGCTTTTTCTGGACCTGGGACAGTTCCTTCGGCATTTCACACTGTCTAAAGTCTTAAAACATTCCAGCACGTTCAGGACCTTGGACAGTTCCTTCATTCCTTCACACTGGTTAAGGTCCTGAAACATGCCAGCTCTTTCAGGACTTTGGACACTTCCTTCATCCCTTCACACTGTTTAAGGTCCTGAAACATGCCAGCTCTTTCAGGACCTGGGACAATTCCTTCAGCATTTCACACTGTCTAAATTCTTAAAACGTTCCAGCACTTTCTGGACCTTGGACAGCTCCTTCAGCCGTTCACACTGTCCAAGATCTTGAAACATGCCAGATCTTTCAGGACCATGGACAGTTCCTTCAGCCCTTAATCATGTTCAAGGTCCTGAAACATGCCAGCTTTTTCAGGACCATGGACAGTTCCTTCAGCCCTTAATCATGTTCAAGGTCCTGAAACATGCCAGCTTTTTCAGGACCTCGGAAAGTTCCTTCACCATTTCACTCTTTCTAAAGTCCTAAAACATTCCAGCAATTTCAGAACCTTGGAAAGTTGAACTTGGAATTTGTTTCTGATGTATTTTGGCTAATACAATGTATTTTGGACGCTGCTGTTTTCTGCACCTGCCATTACCTTGTCTATTTAATTACTTATTCACTTTCAAGGCAACACTTTTATTTTCATGTTTATTTTGAGTTGAGAAAATAAAATGTCTGAGAATTAACCATTCTAGGGGATCAAATAAATATTTTTTCATTTAATAATCAGTTGTAGTACATTATAGTTTTGGAGAATCATCATGTTTGACTGAAGGGGTACTGGAATAACAAAATGGCTCAGGGGTACACAAGTCTATAAAGGCTGGGAACCACTGGTTTTACGTACAACAGACATTAGCTGATTGAAGTTTGTTTGAAACATGTCCGAGCAGACCCGGAAAACTGTGATCAACTGTTAGCAATGTCTTGGGTGAGCACAGATTACAGCCTGAATCAGCATGCCGCAGATCAAGTGCTTTCCTCATTTTTCTCAGTGCAGATGTATGCATCATAAATAAATACCACGTGCTGCTTCTTTATGACAGTTTCAGTGTCCTTCAGCCAAGAAAAGTTACATCCTCACCACCTCTGACTGTTATGTGGATCTGGTGACTTGTAAACGGATCTGGCTCAAATCAAAAGGATGTCTGGGTTGTAGATGTAGATGGCTGTTTTCTGAAAGTTTCAACAAAATCAATCCAGTGGATCATGAGATATGGCAGATATCTGTGTTAACATTGTGTTAAATAATAATACAACAAAGGTGTGTAACATATTGGTGTAAACACATTTTATATTGGTGTTATGGAGACAGATGATGCAATTATGTTCTCAGACTAATCACTTTATACTCGGACATACATCTCAGTGTTTATTTGTGATACTTGGCTGTAAAAAATCAGTGCATGTTTATTATTTTCACTGCATCCAAGAAGTCTTTAAAATGAAAAAACAACAAAACAAAACAAAAAACAAAAACCTACTGTGCTGTTCTCTATAACGCACACAATATCAACTATGAAGCAAACAAATATGTTTCTGAAGTTTCCAAAACCATGACGTCATCGCATCTTTCCCAAATTGTTCAAAGTGACCGTAATCTTAATTTATTTGAAAAGTGTATACGAACATAAGGAAAATGCTAATCAAAAAGGACTTTTCCTCATCTCACCTAGGAGTCATTGCAAATCACTGCTTTATTTCCTGTGTGGATTCTCATGTGTTTGTTTAAATTGACCTCCAGGGTAAACCTTCGGTTACACAGATCACAACAAAACAGTTGCTGTTCCGTGTGGGTTTGCATGTGTTTGATCAAATTGACCTTTAGAGTAAACCTTTGTTCACACAGATCGCAACAAAAGAGTTTCTGTTCTGTATGAATTTTCATGTGTCTGTTTAAATTGACCTTCAGTGTGAACCTTAGCTCACACAGATCGCAGCGGAATGGCTTCTGTCTGGTGTGGATTTTCATGTGTGCGTTTAAGCTGCTACTTAGGGTAAACTTTCGCTCACAAAGATCACAACCAAACATCTTCCGTTCTGTGTGGCTTCTCATGTGTCTGTTTAAATTGGCCTCTAGAGAAAACTTTCGTTTACAGACGTCACAACAAAATGGCTTCTGTGAATGAGTTTTCCTGTGTCTCTTTAAACTGTCCACTAGGGGAAACTTTCGATCGCACAGATTACAACAATACAGCTGTCCTGAATGGATTTGAATTTCTTTTTTTAAATTGCCCTTTAGGGAACAGGTCTGTTCGGAAGGACCATGAAAAAATGGCTTCTGTCCTTCATGTCTGGTCATGTGCTTCTTTAAGCTTCTTTTTAGAGTGAACCTTCGTTCACACAGATCACAGCTGAAAAGCTTCTGTTCTGTGTGACTTTTTGTGTGTCTGTTTAAAGAGGCTTTTAATGTAAACCTTCGGTCACAAAGTTCACACCCAAATGGCTTCTCTCCAGTGTGAGTTCTAATGTGTCCGACTAAACTGCCTTTTTGGCTAAACCTTTGCTCACACATATCACAAGCAAATGGCTTCTGTCCCATGTGGATCCTCATGTGTCTGTTTAAATTGTCTTTCTGGCTAAAACTTCTTTTACACAGATCACAACTAAATGGCTTCTGTCCTGTGTGACTTCTCATGTGTGTTTTTAAACCACTCTTGTCACTAAACCTTTGTTCACAAACGTTACAACAAAACGGTTTTTGTCCAGTGTGAATTTTCATGTGTCTGGTTAAATTTCCCTTGATGCTGAAACTCCGCCCACAAAGATCACAACAAAATAAATTCTGTCCACTTTTGTTGACATCGTTTACATCTGATTCAGAAGCACTGCTCTCCTCCCAGTCTTCATCACTGTCTTCAGTGTTTGACCCAGAGTCTGATAAGTGTTTGAGCTGAGAGCTGGGATTGTTCACAACATCCTCTTCATCATCCTCACTGACTTCAGTTTCTGAAGAGTCTGTATCATTTCTTGACATTTCTGCTCCTTTACAAAACTCTCCACCAGTRGCTGAGCTGGTTGGAAGAGCTCCAACTTCAACTTGGTGTTGATGAAGATCTGGCACCAGAGGTTTCTCTTCATCATCATCATCATTGTCATCACTCTTCAAAGGAACTGCAGGGAATGAAATGCTGGTGGTGTCAGTCTCCTCCTTCACATTGAGGTGCTCTCCCTCCAGACTGGTCCACAGCTCCTCCTCTTCCTTCTTTACGTGGAGGTGTTCTGCATCCTGCTGGTCCACATTAGGCCTTGGTTCTTCAGGAACTTCTACTTTAATCAGGACAGTCTGAACACCTGAAGGAACCACTGAAACACATGTACGTCAGGAAAATAAAGTACCATGTTTTTAACTTGTTCCATCATTGTTTTAACCAGTGTAGAAAACACACACAGAGAAGCCTCTGTTTCTTCTGACAAGTCTAAGTGCTGAATTCAGCCTGAACTGAAATAAGCTACCAGACTTCTAAGAAGAACATACACTCACCGGCCACTTTATTAGGTACACCTGTCCAACTGCTCGTTAACACTTAATTTCTAATCAGCCAATCACATGGCGGCAACTCA